GAATGAGAAGGGGGCGGCAAAATACATGCGGCCCATGGGCGGCAAGTAGGTAAATTCGGCCACCAGAAAATGTAAAGTTTACAAGACAACGCTTCTTATAATGCCGAAGTAGACTCCAAACTGAAGCTAATACTGTCACTGGAGGTGAAGCTCATCACAAGGTTTCTTTCGAAAATTTATCAGGGAAATCCCTGCATTTCCAGGAAAGGGGCACTTTTTTTACAGGTTCTCGCATGCCACATTGGAATAAAGTCTTAAAAATCGTGCGCCCTTTCCAACAACAGAGTTTCTGTTTAATTACGGAGTACCTAATAATAATTTTATTCGCATAAAAACGCTTTTGAAGTCAGTTTTGCGTGCAAATCCTGCAAAATTGAATATTTAATTTGCAGTCCATGCATACAGAAACTGAAATACTTACGATGAATTGCAAAGTTAGTCAGGGCATGTCTAATTTAAACTTTTGAATTGCGCGCTCCGCGTATCCAGTCCATTTTTAGCCGTTCCGATTCTCTAGTGGTTCTCATGCATGTTCATGAAATCAGCTGACGTCATGTTGTTATATTTTCTCGGCAGCCATTGTTTTTGATCCAGTCTCCGTTTAGTCATAGTTCAATGTTTAGGTTGATGTGAGGATCCCTTCCCGTTTTAGGTGATTATCAGCTTTCCATCTTCCTGGAAACTCCTTCAAGATCATTATCGAATCGTGAAAATGATTTTAGAGTGAAGTGTTTTTGTTCGGAATTGGAGAGTGCGGTGTTGATCGAGTACTGAGTGTGTCATGTGCAACAGACTTCGGATTTTCATATGAAAGTGCTTTATCTAGTATCCAAAACTAAAGGTAAGGCAGAGTTGCGTAATTGATCGTTTATTGTTCCTTGTTTTCTTCTCTTGTTTGTATTATCTGTCAATATTCGAACGCTAAGATGCGGGCAACTAACAGAAATATGCCTAATTGGCGGGCAGGGAAGGTCAGAAAGTTAATAGCCTTTACCTCTTTATCAATCCCAACATNCCACCATTATGGGCATAGCTTGGCAGAAAGTAAAAGACGTAGGAGTTTTCTGACATTTGCCCTTCCATACTGATGGTATGGACTTGCTTTCCACAAATTTTCGGATTTTTACTACTATTATAGGTTGCTCAAAAAGTTCATTATACGTTAAAAAACGGCGAAATTTCGATTTTTAGAGGTGCCGAGCGGAGAGTTTCGGCATTACCAAGCGAACTGAGAGTGACCTAGGAGAAAAACAAAAATTTTCCCTTCATCTGCAAGGTATGTGCTAGGTTTGTACCAATTTTTGGACATCTAGCGTCAAATCCGTGTTGCTGGCAAAAATATCAAAAATATACGGCGAAAATGCAAAAAAAACCGGAAAAATCTCGATGTTTAGGCTCTGTGCGCGCCGGGTTAAAAATTTTTTTTCTCAAAATCCTCTTGGCTACCGTGTTTTTTTATCACATAGAACCATTTAAGACCGTGCAACATTTGGTTTTGTCGATTTAAAAAAATAAGTCCCACCCTAAGGAGCAGGTGTAGGTGAGGAGAAAAAGAAAAAATGAAACACATAGGACATAATGCCTACGGATAGAATGTCAATAAGTGCTGTAGTGTATTGAAAGTATCTTCGCCCATGTGAGACCCAAAGCCCCTCTACTGATATGCTCCCTCTGAATTTCACAGGCATTTTATCAAATAAGGTGAAAAGAGGGCTGTCAGTGATATTTCATCAGACATGGCAAGATTCAAGAAGGAGGGAGGGTCTAAAGCAGTCATCTCCAGCAGTCCAGCCCTCCCTCTTTTAACTCTCATCTCTTAAAAGTCTGAGCCACTGCTGGTATTAACTTTGCCTCTACACCATAGAAAGACTTCAGAAGTCTATGATCCCAAAAACTGACAGCTGAATTGCTCAATTTTTAACTTCAAACAGTCCTCCCTCTGATATCAATTCCATAAGCAGGCCCGCCACAAGGGGGGGGGGGACTGGGTCCCTGGTACGGGGGCCCGGGCCCCGGAGGGGGCCTGTGTTACCCGTGAAAAACCACTACGAATTCACATGCAACCCTTGTTTCGTAAGAAAAAGTGAAAAATTTACCCTAAAAATTTCGCAAAAGGTGAATAGATTTTCAGAAACACGCTGGGGCACTGTAGAATTTTTCTTAAATTTTCAAAGAAGTATACTTTTTGGAAAATTTCTATCTATTTTCAAGATTCTCAGTACAGAGGGATATTTTTAGTAACTGCGTTTCATTTTCTTCCGTCGTCAGATGCTAAGAGTCTCCAGTCTGGGCATCCTCGACTTCAGTGGCTCATGGCTCAACTCCCTTGCCATAGACAAACGAAGGGGAAGTCCAGGGGGGCCTGGCCCTCATAGAACTGAAAATAGTATCATATGCCCCCCCCCAAAAAAAAATAAAAATTTTCCAGATGTTTTGAATGCAACAATTCGCAAGTATTTTGTGCTGAAAGTATAAAAAAAAATAATAATAATAATAATATTCCGTAGAAATTGATGGAAAATTCTTTTTGGAAGCTTCAAAATGCGTCCGATTAGTTTTATAAATTCTAAAATTTCTCGGGGGATGCCCCTCGGGCTCCTCCCCCCCCCCTCCGTGCTTGGGGCCCGGACCTTAAAACTGGTACCAGGGCTCGAGATGGGATGTGGCGAGCCTGCATGAAGGCTATTTCCATTTAAATCTTCTGTCACACTCATACGGCGCAAAGATACAACTATTTGAACTCTCCGGTATGCGTGAGGTATCACGCCGCATTTGAAGGCGTTTTCAAATCAGCCAAGTTCCGATACCCGGATTATCGTTTTGCATAGTTCATATACTTTTGTTACATTCCGTGTTACTTGTTTATTTTTAATCCTCGTAGAAAAACCAACCATTTGCTAAATACAATTCTAGCTGAAGCGCACTTCAGCTATGTATTCACCTCTGCAAAAATTTCAGAGGAAATCGACACGCCCAGCGTGCATGGAGGCTATTTCCATTTAAATCTTCCGTCACATTCTTACGGCGCAATGATACAACTATTTGACCTCTCCGGAATGCGTGAGGTATCACGCCGCATTTGAAGGCGTTTTCAAAACAGCCAAGTTTCAATATCTGAATAATCGTTTTGCATAGTTCATAGTATTTTGTTTCCATTTCTAACCACTTGTTTAATTATAATCCTATAAAAACCACCCATTTGCTAAATACAATTCTAGCTGAAGCGCACTTAAGCGCATTCATGACTGCAAAAATGTTAACGGAAATCGAAAAGGCCAGCGTGCATGAAGGCTATTTCAATTGTAATCTTCCGTCGCATTTCTAAGGCGCAATGATACAACTATTTGAACTCTCCGGAATGTGTGAGGTATCACGCCGCATTTGAAGGCGTTTTCAAATCAGCCAAGTTCCGATACCGGTCGAGTGATCACACCCAGAGGCGGATTCAGCAATTCGGCAACACCGGATTTTCTCCATTTAAATCTATGCTAATTAATCGATTCTTGTCGGAGCACTTGGCTCCTCCAAGAATCGATACATTTTCATAGTTTTAAATTGACGAAATCCGGTGTTGCCAAGTTGCTGGATCCGCCGATGATGACACCCCTGGCGAGAAACCGTGGATCAAGCGCGCAAGTCTCCGAATATTTTTAAGTCCGTTGGATCCTACAAATCAGTAGAAAATTTGCAAGACGCGAGCAGAAACTAGGGTGTGGGTGTAGAAACTTCTCGGTCATGCAATCATGATTCCGAGGCCGCTCGCATGAAAAATTGGAAAGCCAGCTTGCACTTGCGTCAAATTCGCCGTGAATTCCGCGTTTTTTAGCGTAGAATCGCGGAGAAATTTGAGAGTAGTTTCCTTATCTGTGGCAATTTGTGTGTCAAGGACACCTGCAAGTCATAAAATCGAAAAATCTCTGGGGTAAATGAGTTTTTGAGATTAGTATCTCAAGAACTTTCCGAGCACCTGGGAACCAAGTCCACTGATACAGCTTCAGGGGGGCTTATATTATTACTTGAAAGATGCCTGCCTGATAAGACTCGACGATCCGCAGAAAGGGTGTCTACAAGTCCGGAAATAATACTGATTTTTTAAGGGCGGTCCGGAAGTACTGAAAAGTGCGGAAATTCCGCAAAAAGGTCCGGATTTTTTTTAAATTTTTTGTCATTTTTGTTGCAATTTCAATTTTTGAAATTTTTCGAATTTCGTCAAATGGAGGCACTGAAAAAGCACGGAATTTTTCTGTTGGAGGAAGTACTACATTTCTTGATAAGGCACTGAAAAAGTACTGTACCTACAAGGACTTACTTTTGATCAGCCTGTTTCAGTAGACACCCTGCCTGGCAGATCACGGCGAGCCCCTGTCCGACCGTGCCCATTTCCCTGAGGGGGGCGAGGGGCCTCCCTCAAAATTTTAGAGGGTCAAAAAGAAGCTCTTTTGCACAACCAGGACTACCCTTATAGTTTAATCTCGATAGTTCAATTCACTCAAAGGTTATCGGAATAGTGTGGGGCGCTCGGATCACAATGTGTAATGTGTATAGGTACGCGAGTTTTTTCCCATTCCTTTCTTGTTTTATTTTTAACTGTACTTCGCTCGACTTTCCTTTTCCTCTCCTTCCTCCTTCGTATTTATTTATCAGCTACTCTCTAAAACCACTTACAGCTCGGAAAATGGCAGAATAGCGTCCCGGCACTTTTTCATGCTTATCTCGTTTGATTCAAGAGGTCCTTTGCTGGAATGAAACTTTAGGGTCACTAACAGCAATTTTCTTTCTGTCTTTTTACATTTTCTATGAAAAGCAATTTGTTTAGCCCTCCCCCCCCCATCCCCACTAAGTCTTAACACACACACTGGAGCACTCAAACGGCGCCAGGTGGAAAAATTCAGCTGATAAAGTCTTGTTTACGTGCACTGCTCAAAGATTGTAGTATTTACTCAGCGTCTTCAGATAGCGTCCCGACTCCCCAGCCCCAAGCAGAGCATTATTATTCATTCACAGATCGAGCTCGCATCATCGTTCGCGCTCTGAGGAAAACCTCTTTTTCAACCTTTCTGTTTTCGGTTTCGGGCGGAAATCAATTCGTGTCTGTGTAGGTGTGTGCGTGTGTGTGTGCGAAGTAAAAAGTTCAATCGAACCATCAGGATTATAATTTTTGTACTGGGTTTACAGTTGTGTGTAATTGTACGATTTCGGACAGGCAAGTCCGATAATCTTTAAGGAGCAGGGGTCTTTTGAGACCAGTTTCTTGCTTAGTATCGTGCCGAGTTTTTTCGGGACTTCTGGATTCTCCGATTATAAGGTCGGGCCACGTTAAATCAAACTTTTTTGAATGAGAAACTATATCTTGCCGTTCACCCACTATCTTGGTACGCCGAGATCCTTTGCCTTCAGCTTCAAGTTTGACGCTTTCCCCAGGCATGACGTCTTCCAGGACTCTGGCTACTTTGTAAGTTGTTTCATTTTCCCGTTTCTCCACTTGAAATGACGGTAGAATTTTCTTAGTTTAACTGTAAGCTCCGGTAACTTGCCCGAATATACCACGCGATTCAAATAAAATCAACGGAATCGTATTCTTTTTTAATTTGAGACTGATTGCCGAAATAAGGAAACGAACTGGTACCTTTAAAGCTATGTTTAGTAGCACCTCGGTCCCATTCTACATTTGGGAGGCCCTCATCCCCCGCCCTTATACTCATATCGTGTCAGCCCCGTGGAACCACTTGAAATTCTCATCACGTCGATTTTCAGACGAAGGAGCGTACCTCTACTTCAGCATTGCTAAATTGTCTCAGTCAATTAACTTTTTACAAGAAAGTGACCTTGTAATTTCTGTCCAAAATTTTGCTCTTTATCATGAGAAAAATGAAAATTTTCAAGAAGAAATGCCCGAAAGTTTTCTGGTAAAACTATCATTTGCGATTGAAAATTTTGCAACTACGTAATGTAGCCACGTTTTTTCACCCAAGAAACGACGATTTGACCCAACCTAACGCACGTTAAGCATTATTCTTTGTAATAAATTGTATCTGTAACGTAATTAACTGTAGAAGATTCCATCTGTCCCAAGGCTCAAGGCCTTGCCTCAATAGATGTCTACTCTCTTTTTTCCCCGCCATTTTTCATTATTGTTAAACGGAAAAAGAAAAACAGAAGAAAAAAATCAATTCAAACTGAATGTCTTGTGAAAGAAGTTCGAAACATCATAAATCCAACTTCTTACTTTAAATCTTATTTGCCTCGTAGGATCATCTCGGTGAATTAGTTTTGATGCGAATATACTTTTTCTAGAATAGAATCAGTGTCCAACTTCGGTTTTCAACATTTCCAAAAGTTTTTCACCTGTACGCAACTCAAAAAATTATTTAAGCGCATTAACATAATTTTTCATATGGATTGTGCTATGATCGCTGAGCACTTATGGGGGAGAAAATTCGATTTACTGCATACTAATTCGGTTTTTTCGTTTCCGTTTGGAAACGCCCACCAGATCGAGGGTTTTCAAAAACCTGGCCTTTGAGTGGGGCCAAATCATCTCACCAGACCTCTCAAGTGAACATCACGACAATAAAAAATGTCTGTGAGAATGTTAAGACGCAATATACATTGAAGAGCCTTCCCTTACAACATACTATCACACGGAATTTTGACAGAAGTCGCCTTCAAAATGCAAATACGCATTACGCAAGGAGAAATATCATCCTTCAATCGATAATAGAAGATAAGCTATTGAGAAACGCCCTTCAGAGGCTAGTGGCACCGTAATAGCTCGAATAGATACACATTCGAAGACGTAATAGCGAAACTCTTCAAGAATATCGTGTGCAGTAAAACTTCTCGAGTTAATGAGGATGTGAGTGAGATATTAACTTACAGGAGATGCGAAAAATAGAATCCGCTTTTTGAAGTTTTTTCAAAGTGTTTTGTTTAATGTTTCCATTTTTTACTCGTATATCGAGGTAGAATCGGTGAAATTTCCTCGAAAAGGGCGGGATTCGCAGGAAGAGGGTTTCCCTCGCAGTATTTATGAAAGAGGGGTCGTTTCATTGAAAAAAAATTCTCGGCGTTTTTACCGCGGTCCGTTGGTACCTTTACCATCTCACTTTCTTTACCAATTATTGGTAATTTCACCAAGACAGACTGGTAAGCTTACCTGAAAACCGGTATTTTTACTGTTTTTTCCAGGTAAGAATACCACTTTTATTGGTAATCAATTCCCGGTAACTTTGCCATTTTATCTCGGTAATTCTGCCACAGTCGATAAAAAATATTTGCGTTTTTACCAAGGTTCAGTAAAATTACCGAGAAAGTTCAATAATTTTACCGAGATTTCTAGGTAAAATTACCAATTCCATAAATGATAATTTTACCAAGAAAAATTGGGATCAAATAGAACCCTGAATTCTTGGTAATTTTACCCTTTTCTTAGTAAATACACCGAGATTTTTTTTCAGTGTGGCGGAGGATTCGGCAACATCGACCCGATTATACCTATGTATATTTCGAAGTCTCTTGGTGTGGAAACTCCACCAACTTATTTTTCAATTTTGTCGATTTTCTCAGT